AAAACATGAATTCTGACTGTGAGTGGGGTCATCTCTCCACAGATCTGACTTGTAATCTGACGTGACATGCTTGTGTCTGTAGGTATAGTTAAGTTAATGCCTTGCTGTCAAACATTTTAGGCAAAGCGTTTCTATGGAGATAAGCAGGAACAAAGTTACACAGTGCACTTTCACAATCTGATTGTACCATTACTTACCAAAATGATCACTATTATTATTCCTTGTACAATATGCACTTTTTTCCCCCTGGCAACACAATACGATATTAATAACTAAAATTTGTCTTGCTGTTGTGGCCGATAATCGATTATTGGCAACACCGATATCAAGATTTCAACATTTCAAGCAACTGTCAACCACAAATTTATGATAACATTTCACAGGAAAACCATCCAACTTATTCATCAACCAATGCTAACCCACGGTAAGATAAGATTACTTGATTGAAGAAAGTTTTCTCATGACTTGAGTAAATTTCACATGTCAAGTAAAATAATTTTTCAATGGAATAAGACTTTTTGCACTTGAAATACGAAATCTTGCTACACTTGTACGCACGATACAATTTTCTGATTAATATTCGAGCAACGCATTATGGTCAGATGTAATAATAATCACAAAGTTGATTAGCCAATTATAGTTTGACAGTTGTTTGATCAGCTTTATGGGGCTTTTCAGACACATCGGATGAAAACCCCAGCTTTTCTCCTGCTCTTGTATTGGCCTATTATTATTTCATCTGAGCCTAATAGCTACCCATTGCCCTAACATGATATGAACATCTAATGTATATCCTCTTGTCCATGTGTGGGAGTTCTATGCACTGGACCCCGGAGCACATTCGTATTGCACATTTTCTGTTCATTTGATCTCCTCTCCATCCCCTCTCTTCTCATTTCCCCTGCTTTTTCCCCACTCTGTAATCATTACGACAACAAAGGCAACTACTTTTCCTGCTAGCTTCTACACGGGCCTAATGTATGTGTGTGTTTTTCTGCTCCTCGTCAGTTGTCACGGGGGATACATGAGTGAAAAACTTGATTGAAAATGTGTGGAAAAAAGGGAATAATTATAAAGGGGAAAAAAGCTGCAACGGCCCGTGACAGTAATCATCGGTGATCTTGGCTGTCATTCCAGAATGTTGTAAATAATTTATCAAAAGAAACAAAGGGGAAACAAATATGCAAATAAATCCCCGAAAAGGCCGCTAACAGGGGCCTGCAGTGCCACATGGGAAGAATAGGAGCGGATTATAATGGCGGCAGGTTATGGCTGTGATGAATCTGAATCTATCTTGTTTCATCTACCTTGACAGTACTGAAGTCGCACATAACAGAAAAGAGGAGAGAAAAAAAAACCTGGAGGGATTTGTGGTTTTGATTGAGGAGGGAAGGGAACAAGGGAGGGAGCAAGGATTAAGGACAAGGGGATAGGAAGGATTGGAGAAAGGAGGGGTGAAACAACATTTGGGAAAGAGATGGAGCAGAGAGGGATAGAGAGAGGGAGGGAGGGAGAGAGGGAAGCTTTTGAGGGTGTATTCGGCAGTGCTGTGAAAGGTAGCCATCAAGGGCTTTGATGAAAAGTGCAGGCCTTCTAAAGCTTAGGAGTGACAGCATATGATTTGGTCAAAGCATGGAGCTTTTCAAAGGTAGACATTTTCCCCTCCATTCATCCCTCACGACTTGACTGTAACTTTTTAGGGGGCTGGGCTCAGGCTCAAATGTAGAATTGGGATGACAGATTGTCTGCTGCTGTATTGTCAGTGACTTATACAGAGTGCAGACTGGCTGAGAGCAGACAGGCTAAATGAGAGGGATTACACTCAATAGTTTAGCTAAGGGGCCACAGTCAAAGACAAGTTGTGTATTGTGGATAATTAAGTAGAAATATGGGTGCTGGTCAGTGCATTTGTTCTGGAAAATTGCAGTTACTTCTGTATTCTCTATAAACTGAAAGTGTATGCCCTCCAAAGCAGCACTCCATGGAGATGTTATTGCTGTCTCTGAAATGTTTCACAGTAGGGCATTTACCATTTCTATCATTATGGAAACTAAACCGGGCCAAGTTTCTGGTCATATCTGTGGAGAGACAACTCTGCTCACAGTCAGAATGCCTTTTTTTCTGAGTATTTTGGAGCCATAAAGCCATAAGTAACTAAATAAATGCAAGGTAGATCTGTTTTAGGTCATATTGTGGAACATTTGAAGCAGAGTAATTAGCCTGATTCATCAGAGGATTTCACTTCGTGGAAACCGTCTGACCTCACAGCATTAGAATTCATTTGCTCAACAGTAGGCGGGTACTTTTTTTATTTAACCAATCGCTGCTATTGGGTCATGATGTATGTAATGTGCCAAACCAGTAGAAAGAAGGACAATAATGTCTTTCCCCTTGATAGAATTCACCAAACATTCTCTTTGTTCCGGCTTTAAATCCTCGATCTCGGGAATCGTTGCCAACACAGAATGTCTGGCTTTGTCTACATCCATCTCGACTGCTTTGTTTACTGTTGTGCTGTACCACAAAAGGGACCTAGACAGGCACTTGAGTTCGACGTCATGGCTTCACAGCTCTTCACTGATTTATGGACGGTGATGGACCCCCAACCAAAAAGTTACTCAGTGCAGTGTACCTTTAAACACGTGATCATGTTTGCGGTAGTCCATTGTTATTGTATCGTGTGATTTTGGACATTAACTACAACCCTTACTCATCTCTTGGGAGTATTTCTTTCTGTGAGTAATGGATACAGAAAAGCTATTTACTGCATTGTGCTTTATTAACTAGCAACACTTATGATGATAAACCTGTTCAAATAAATGCACTAGAACTTTAAATCAAGTTAATGTGCAGTAACACAAGATCACATGGATAAACAATCTTTTTTCTTTGCATTTTGATAAGGTATGGCTTTTGTATTACTCTCTTTACTTATCTGTGCTTCACATTGGCACAAATAGTGAACTGATTCGTATTCGTACTTTTCTTAGTTTTTCTTATTTTTTTGTGATTGCATGTTTAATTGAAGTAAAAAACTATCCTTTCTGTTGATACTACTCCGCGAACATCATCACGTTCTATTTTTTTTATCTTTTTCAAACATAAAATTATCCTTTCCCATTATTTTTTCTCTGGTTCTCACTTCAAAACCCCTGATTACATTATGCGCGGCTTAATTTGTACCTTTAGACTTTCCATTTCCACTCTGCTATGACAACAGCCCGCGCAACTGTTGTCTTGCAATGCCTTTCTCCATGTTATTATCATTCAAGCTCGGAAAAAAACATTAGCTTTGGGGGAACAACAGTCATTACATTTACAGCGCCTATGCTAACGGGCTCCTGAGCTGTCAGCTGATGTGTGCGTGTCCCTTCACACACACGACAACATAACGCCTTGTGCCTTATGTAAAATGTAGCTTTAACACCTATGCGCAGAGACAGGCACGCTAATGACGTGGCTCTTTCAAAGTAAAAGCATGCAGAAGGGAGCTGGTACGCCACCGGGGCCCTTGTCCTGATATAGTGCTACCCACACACAAGGAAAGATAATAGCGTCTAATTTAGGCCCTCATATCTGCACAGTTCTCCAGAGGACCAAAGCTCATCAGGAGTATATTGGTGACCTACATACTACGAAGAGAGAGGAGAGGGCTCAAGTGAGTACGTTTGACAGAGGAGTAGGGACTTGTCTTAGCCCAGACACACAAGCATGTAAACATGTCTCTGAGCATGTCTGGGTGAGTCTGCATACATAACATACTGTACCATACATTAGGTACATGAGGGATGAGGGATCCTCCATGGGCTAAGAAAGTGCTCAACTAATATGAATCAATGTAAGTTTAATGAAGTCTCAAAAAGAGCATTGTGCCGAGTTTAAGAATAGATCAGTGTCAGGTCAACCATACAATACTGACTCCAAACACAAGAGTTCAGTAAAGGAGCAGATATTTGATGTATGGGCTTTTTAGTGTTTATGATTTTATTAAATTTAGCCCAAAATCACAATGACCTGGCTTCACGAAATGGTTGATTTATATTAAGGAACGTTAGATACTTTATATTGATTTCAGTACTACAATTATAATTTAAAAAATATAAATATTGTGGTCATTTGTGGTATTTCTGATATAGATCTAAGACCTTAACATGTCAACAGATTCTTAACATTTTCAGGAGTAGTTTCATTTTCTTCAGTATTATTCAAATGAGAATCTAGCTTTGATACTATGCACTGTTTTTTTTGTGTGTTTTTTTTTGGATATACATATACATATGTCTCCCCAGGACATCATGGAAAGTCCCAAACTCATTGCTCCAAGCCAGATCAACATCCATACACCAGTGAATATGTATGGACATTAAAGGGACAGTCTGGAATTTTGGACATTGGACCTCCTTTCCTAGCACTAGTGACCTCTGAAAATACAAGGACTGGATGGAAAATATTAAAAAGTGTCTCCACACGTCTCCAACACTGTGGCTAAGAAACGTGGTCCTATATAAAAAATTTTGGACTGTCCCTTTAACTAACTTGTCCAACGATCTTTACTATCCATGGGTTTCAGACATAGACTGTATATAGATATAGACATAGCTAGCCAACTAGCCACTGCGTTCCAAATAGGAAGTGAGCATGGGCGCGATTCAAGCTCCATCGACTCTGGCTTCAATTCACTTCATATTGAAAAACTGTCTCCCCTCTCTCTGTAACTGCTCCTCAATTTAGTCTTAAAATGTTCGTATTAACTTGCTCTATAAGATCTTTTTTCTGTAAATCAATTCCTATTGCTAATATGGAACTCAGCCCTAAATTCGCCCCCATAACTGCTGGTCTCATGAGCTTCATTTGACTGGAAGCGAACGCTCCAGGTGACGTCACATTCTCTTCTCCACTTCTTTATACAGTCTATATTTTCAGAATGATGTGACGTGATTATAACAGTAACCTGAAAATGGAGCATATTTTACTTGTCAGAGATGAAGTCAAGATTTAGATTTATCATTTTATATATTTATTATTTTATATGTACACAATACAAAATTACAAGACAGATTAAATGTGGGGTTTGAACAGTATACACATCCATAACAAGATTGATTAAAAGCTATGCAGGTCAAAAAGTTGGAAAGAAAAAAAACTGAACAAAACGATATACGATTTCAAGTGTACACAAAATAAAGTGTATAAGTCTCAGCTTTTATGAAAACCCCACAGAGGGTCTTGAATATGTTTAGATCTCTTCTCAGATGGTCGCGCGTGTTGCCGGGGGGACCCTCAGTCAATGATGTGATGCACCGTTTTGTGGCGAGAAGGCCAGAGAACGGCTGGATGTGCGATGTAATATGTATTCAGCTGGCATCAGACAGACCTCCAGTCATCATTCATCATTCATGGGCATCGTCTGTTACCTTCACAGTCCGCCAAATGTCTGAGAGGACCTGACAGGGAGAGAAAAGAAGAAACACATATAAGTAAACACAATAGAAGAAGAGAATAATATGCTGTTTATATAAGAGGATAATGGGTCCTTAAGGTTAGCTGCTACAAGTCTGACTTGAAATTTCTGCTGACGTGTGAGATTCTCGTACCACAAAGGAAAAGTTTAATGAAAATTTAAGTTTTATTTCATTTAATTTGTTTTTATCAATAGAAATTTGAAATATGTCAGAGCAATCGTCTCACTCAGTACCAAATATACCCACCTCAGTTACTACAATGTATTATAAAATCCTCAGTCAAATGCTTTAAAGGGTCTATATTATGCCATTTTCTGATCTATGTTGTTTCCTCATCAAAAACATCTAGAGTTGTTTTGCTTCATTCACATATGTTTAGTGTTTAGGCTGTGTTCTTCTCTCCAACTGAAAACACTCTGTTGCACCTTGTGATGACATGTGGTAATTCAGGAAGTTGTCCACTGTGTTTTAAAGTCAATACATCTTCACTAGAATCATTTGGATGACCTCAGCCCTGGAATTGCCAATCTCTACTGAACTTAAGGTAAAAGGTAGCAGTTAACTTGAAAACTACCACTTCGTGACATCATAAGGTGGAACAGAGCTTTTTGAGCTTTTCTAATTATCTATCTAATACAGGATTACTCAAACATGTGAGAATGAAATGAAACACAACTCCAGGTATGTTTTTGAGGAGGTAACATTATAACATGACCAAACATGACCCGCATACAAAAGTCAATTTTGTGTAATACAGGACCTTTGTTTTATTTCTTTTATTGGCACTCTATCCTTATTACAGAAACTTAAAACACATTTTTGCTATTGCTGTTGACAAATGCCATAATGCACTGTTACATTTTTGGCATCTTATATTATACTACTATATATACAAAATACACCATTAAACTTTATTGTTTCAGTTTCCAATGTAAAGTATATTGACTGGTAAACAGAACATTCAGAATACCCTGGTCCAAAACACAGCATATACCAAAGGGTGGGGACATCTGCAGACGTTTATGTGTCTGTCTGGCTCAGTTATAAATGGCCATAGAACAACTTGACTCATGCATAGTAGTGGTGGTTGCGATTGAAGGAGAAGGAACTGAGGTTGGACCACAACTGATGCAAAAATAGCTATTTGAAACAGCCTGGAAATGTATTAGCCCTACTTTATTTGTATGGGTGGTTGGAAGACTTCAGGATCCAGCTCCTATGTCCCTGTTACCACAAATAGTAACCTAATGTTTAATAGTTATTTTTGCAGTTTTCCTTCTGGGGTTGCAATTATCAGCATTTAGCATAAAGTATTCAGTAACATATTGCTGGCAGACCGAAGTGGGATTCCCTTCCTTACAATTGTACGAAGTTGAAAGTATTTGATGCAGCAAATGCAAGACAGAGATAAAAATAAATAAATGCTCATAAGGCTCACACACACATTGTAGATATTTGCTCTAATACAATGGAACATGTTCAGATCTACATCCAGACCAAGATTAGTGCCATTCTCTTTTTGCATGAGAAAATAAACTAGTTGTGCTCATACAAAAGTGAAATAATAGAAAATATTGGGCTTCTCATTAAAATGATTCACATATTTTAACCATCTGATGTTCAACAACAAAGGTCTGGACTTGGTCAAAATGCCATTCTGTCAAAAGTCGGAGCTGGCCTGGGCATCAGTGGCATGGCTGCAGACTTTTTAAGAGTTTCCAGACTGATGCTATTAAGGCTTTTGTTCTTACTTCAAACATTTTGGGATCATCAGTGACTTTCCCATCTTTTATCTCTGATTGACTTTTTCTACAGACATTTGGGAGCATGAACAGAACATGTTTATGTGCTAAGTTGGGATAGAAGTCCTGGTGAGAAAAGTCAGAGCTGAAGAGAAAACTCCTTAACGATGTTGGGGCAACGGAAGTGAAAGAGACTGCCTTTAGTAATTACAGATTCACTGAGTGCTAGCAAAGAGCTGAGCCACTGTTATGTAAACCCGAATGAAAGATTAATGAGAAAGCCATCATCTCACTCTCAACCTGCTGGGGTAGCACATGACTGACCCATATGGATGACTGCTATCTTCAACTCTATACTGTATAAACCTTTTAGTGTTTGCAAACACTTCCTATGGCTTCTAAAGATAGTGACAGTAATAGATCGTGATGTGAGCCAAGTAGACCGCAATGTATGATTTTATAAGGAACCACAAGTAGCAAAAAACCACACAAAAAACACACACAAAAAAAAAAAAACATTTATAATAACTACACCTTAAATTTCCTTATTAAAGCACACATAAAGATTTAAGATGGGGCAACACAAATAACTACACCCTCATTCACCTTACAAAACATGATCAAAGTTTTAATACATAATGAACAAATAGTACAGTAAAATGATTCAGGCTTAGTAGCTTAATTAAGGGGTTCGTGTTAGGGTATTAATTAAGTTCTTAATAAATGATTTGTTCATTATCTTAAAGATGTATTATGTAACTTTTCTTGTGGAGAGTCCGTCAAATGCTGTTCTTCATGGAAACGTTATTGCTTTGTGTGAAATGTTCAACAATATGGTATTTAACCTTTCTGTCTTCATGGAGACCAGATCAGACCAAGTTACAGGTCAGATCTGAGAAGAGGCAATAGACTTTCCAGCAGCGCAATTATAGTTTTTATTTTATTATTATGATGTATTACAGTGAAGAGTAACGCCTTGGATTATATAGAGCTTTAGCGTCTTAACGTGTTATTCATTCACAGTGTGCAAATAAAAATATATACACAATAACTTAACTCACGTTTTTATATGTTATAAAAGAAAAGCAAATCATAGCCCCAGACACCCTCATTTATATTGGAATTAATAGAAAATACTGATTCCAGGGCCAATATTATCAACAACAACCTTTACAAGTACAAATGCTAATGTCATATTTGAGCCTTAACTAGCAATTGGACAGAGGTGCTGGGGTGAAGGAAACAGATGAAGGACAGACAGCAGGGAAAGGAGACGGAGGTAGGAGCTAGGAGATAGGAGGTAGGAGAGAGAGAGAAAGAGAGAGAGAGAGAGAGGGATTAGGCAATAAAAAGACAGATGAGATCGACACACAGCCCTGACACACTGAGGCTGTTCTTTAGCCTGGGAGCAGCTGCAGTCACCACACTCATACACACTCACACATACACACACACACACACACATACATACACACACATGGTAGCTTTGTGATGTGGTTAGAGCGCGTGCATGTGATGTTTAGAGAGGGGCCATGCTGTAGGAGGCCAGACCCACAAGCCTGCATCATAAGAGTAGGGGGGGACTTTGCCATGTGTTGTATCTTGACTTCAGTTGCGGCTTCCATAATTCTTAGTCTCTCCATCTTTTTTCCTCTTTCCTTTATACTATATATCCGCCCTTTTCCCTCCCCATCTCTTGTCTCAGTCCAATGCTCCGCTTCCCTTCAGCTCTTCCTCCTCTGCCTGCGTCGGTGTCCATCAATCTTCCCGGCTAACCTTATCACATCCATCTCCAGGCTCTCTCTTACAAAGGATACACTTCTATGAATAACAATTGCAACTCAATCATCTGACGGTATGATATCTGCATATTACCAATCAAACAGTCAATGCAAAGGTCTCCAGCTCAGCAGTTTAAGCATAATCAGGAAGGACACTGGAGTCGTATTTAGGTCATAAGCAGGAGGTTGGATATATAGGCCTCAACTGTGGAAAGCCGTGGAGAATTTTATTGCTATACTTGATGATTTATTTGAAATAGGATGAGCCTATTTTTCCTTAAGTTATTATGCCGTTACGCCTTTTAGACACCTTCACCTATGCCATAAAGTATATATGCAAGTGCAACCCAGGTTCCATATAACAAACAATAGATTAGGATTACGTCATAACACCCCAGAGGATTGGCAAACATCTTCTGCTGACCAGTTCAAACTTGTGATTGACATGAGTACGCCCACCCTTTACAAAGTTGTATTGTACGGAGCGTTGGTGAATGAAATGAAAATACCTGATTGTCTCCAGTGAGATCGTACAATTTATGACATCAAACTTATCTCGATGAAGGCAAGCAGGTCACGACACTAGGTCAATTTACAGGTCAGGTCTGTAGAGAGTAGAGCCCACTTTAAAATAACTTTAAAGTAAGTACATAAGGTAAGTGGTAATGATTTGAACTGTAATGGTAAAATGTATTTTAATTCATCACAAACACAATAATAGTGGTTTTATGGTGTATTGAAATAGAAACACTGGTAACAGACAGAGGGTGTAGCCAGTGGCAGAGTTAGCAATTTGGGGGGCGAACTTGAGTTTAGGGACCTCACAATAATGCACTGTTATGTTGGTTTTTTTTGTATTTCTTTAATATGTATTGTTTGTCTTTCTCCATTGTTCTTGAGACACACACATCTTTATTTGAATTAGGGTGGATTGGAAACTTGTCTTATTAATTAGGTCGCCTACTAGATAAACAGAGCTGAAAGTTGTTTTGTTTTTTTGCTAGTACAATTTTTTGTTTTGTTTACATCCATTATATATGATTATGATTATACTATGATTATGTTCAAATCAGGGTAAAGCTGGCTAGTCCATTCTAACATGAAAAGGGGGAAGCTTTGACAGTTAAAATAGATTTGACAATCAGATTTTGATGGTGTTTTCTTTTTTAAAAGTAAACCACTCTCATTTAATGTCATATTGAGAGAAAATCAACCTCGACCATTAGTGGCACTGAGGGCAATTGGTTGGGGGGCCCCTCCAGGTTCAAGGGCCCTCGCTGGCTGCCTAATAGTAACGCCACCTCTGGGTGTAGCTGTACTAGCTCAAGTATTAGCATTAGAGGTAATTGCAGTATTAAAAGTAGTATTAGTTGTATAACTGCTATTAGTACTGGTAAGTTAACTTTGCTTTCTTGTTGAAAACAGAGTTCGCATTTCATTTTCTATTACACAGTAAGTA